AGTTGTGCAAAATAATCAGCTTTAACCATCTTAAACTTTTTTTTAACGAAACGTATAAAATCTTATGTAGTTGGATTCAAATTTTTCGATGTGCAACAACTTGGAGACTTTGTCTATCAGATGTGCGAGGTAAGTCTTGTAATTTAACGGCGTAACTGATACACAGACGTATTGTATTCTCATTTCATCCTGCAAAACGTAGAAATTGTTACAAAATATACACTATCTTAGAACATGATTTATATAATGGTAAAAAAAATAAGATTACTGTGAAAATTAGAAAGGTGGAAGGAGGAGGAATCTTATTAGTATGATGAAATGCGCACTGTATCGGTTACCTGGAAAACTTCTGATTTCGCCCTCAAGTTGAAAGTAAATCTTTTGAAAGTTGCCTCGCCGAATTTATGCAAATAGGCATCGTTATCGCTCTCTTTCAATTCCCCCAAGTGTTGCGCCGATATGCCTAATATCTTCTCAGCTTCTTCACCGAAGGCATTTACCCAGCGATTGCCTGTCGCATCCACTATATTCACCTGAGAATCGTTACGACAATAAGTCGAACAGATATATCAGAATGTACTTGCAAATAATAAATAAGGAACAGCGCAAGAACAATATACATACACTTGCCAGCAATCGATATGAGAAATTTGGATACTCCTTGTTACACTTCTCACATCTAAATACTCCAGTAGATTGATCAATTAACTGAAATTGAAGTTTTATGATAATTCATATTTTGTAGCTTGGAAATATCGTTGAATTTTCGTTTTATAAATTTTATTCGTGTCTCATACCACTCACTTTTTTCTTACAACTTTCTATGGGACATGCCTCGTAGATAGCATTCTCCACGCGAATCATTTTATTGGTCGCCATCATCATAAATGCATCCGAGATATTCATTTTCTCCCCCAATCGAGCTTCGGTTGCCTCTTGGAGAGTATATAACGGCACGTTTAAGTCACCACTTCCACCTGCTCTAGATAATGATTTAGCATTTTCTGAATGGCCAACTGTGGTGTACCATTCGCGCAATCTGAAATACACATCACAATACATTATATAATTGTACATTACAGTGTCTTTATGTAATTATATCTCCAAAATTGTATATTTACAACATATTATCGGTAATTGTGCATAAAAGCGACTTCCTCTCCGATTCGCTTGATTTTTAAATATGTTGTTGGGGATGTCTTCCCGAGTCATTTCATATATATATATAAGGGCCGGACGCAAATAGTTTCGGAGATACAGGCTGAGAAAGGACACAAATAATAAATATATTTCCCAATTCGTACTTCCGCCGTTGTACTGTTCCACATGGGTTTGCAACTTTCCACGTGAAGCGAGATCCACTTCACACCTCTGACATAGGGTGGGTAGGGTTATTTTTAACGAAGTGGAGCCCCCCCGAAGGGGGGGCGGAACACACTGTCTTCACGCATACATTTTTCCATCTACATTTGGTGGAGAGGAGTGACTTATATGTAGGTAGAAAAATATATGCGTGGAGACAGTATGTTCCGCCCCCCCTTCGGGGGGGCTTCACTTCGTTAAAAATAACCCTACCCACCCTATGTCAGAGGTGTGGAGTGGATCTCGCTTCACGTGGAAAGTTGCAAACGCATGTGGAACAGAACAACGGCGGAAGTACATGCGAGGAGACATTTTTTGGTGGAAATATATGAAGACTTTCAAACGTAAACAAACGGGGACTACCGCACCTCTCCGCATGCA